CTCAAATATTATTAAATGAAACTTCAGAAGAAGTGAATAAAGAAAATGGAGGAATATTAACACAAAATATTGATGTAAAAAATAATACTCAATATTCAATAAGTGTACGTAAAATTGAAGATTTATGTAAGACTCCAAAAAAAAATGTTGCATTAAGAGATTTAGAAGAAATAAATAACATTAAAATAGAAAATATAGATTACTCTCAAAGTTTTAATTTTAATTTAGAGACATATTCAGAAGAATTAGTTTCAAAAAATATTAATTTTTTACCAGAAACATTAACAACATGTAAAAATGAATATTTCTATAATGAGAATATATCTGATAAAGAGATAAAAAAAAAATCTAGTAATGATTATAATCAATTATCTAATATGATTAAATCTGAATTATGTTATAATGAAGTAAATGATATGGAAGCTATTGATATGTTGCATGATTCCATAATGGATTTTGAAGAAAATAAAATAAATACAGAATTTTTTTGTTCAACAATGAATGATCCTACACAAATTGAACAAACCATAGAAACATCCCAAGATCCAGAATTTGATCCTCTTTTTATTGCAAATGATGAAAATTCTAATATAACTCCAGAAAATATAAGTCAAAAAATAAAACGCAAATGTACTGTACTTAGCCCAAAAATACGAAAAAAAAAATGCTCCAATAATATAAAAAAAGAGAGTGATGTGGAGAATGATTTTATAAATCATATTTTAGGAGAACTAGACATTGAATTATTATCAGAAAAAGAGGAAAATGCTGATGAATTAGATGAATTCTCTAAGGATGCATTAAAGGTATATAATTAAAATGTATTTTATGTCAATTATATCATATTATAAATAATATCAATTATTTTATTAACTTATTATTTTTTTAGAGATTATATAATTTAGAAGTAAAATTAATACATGAAGTACCAGCTCAACATAAAATTGAACATACAGCAGGTACAAAACCATTAACAAAAAAAGAGAAAAAACTATTTTTAGAACAAGGACCACTAAAAAGTGGAGTATTTACACCTAATGAAGATAAAATTATTAAAGATAATTGGAAAGCATTTTGTGAAGTATGTTTGATTAATTTTATATATTTTTTCTATATATAATTTTTTGTATTTGTAAATGTTTTAAATTTTGTAGATTCATAATTGGAATTCTGAAAATGTAAAACCATTTCTTCAAATGAAAAATAAAAATAAATTTTATATAAGAACCATGGAAGAAAGACAAAAATTTTCTCAATTTTTAGCAAATGGATTACCATGGAGATCACTGTATAGTGTTTATCATAGATTTAGATACTTGTATAAAAACCAAACAAAAAGTTTTCAAAGGTATTGTGTTAAATATAATTCAATATAATTCAAATATAATTATTTATCATTATATTATTATAATTCAAATTTAATATATATATATATATATATATATATATATATTATACATATTTCTTTTATATATTTTATACTAATTATTTGTTTTTTAGGTATACATTAACTGAAGATAAGAAAATTTTGTCTTGTATGGAGAATAAACAAAATGAAAAAAAACCACATAAAAATTTAGTAAAATTGAGTAAAATATTAAATCGTTCACAACATTCAATTTGGTTACGTTATAAATTGCTTTCAGAACAGATGAAAAATAATAAAAAATGTAAGTTTTTTAGTGAAGTTATAATTTTTATAATTTGAATAATAGAATCTATTTGATTAATTTTTGTTAAAGCGACATCTGAAGTAAAATGGACATTATCATTAATTGGCAAATTTATAAAAACTTTCATGCATGTAACATTATGTGAAACGGTGGAAGATTTAAAAGATGCTATTATTCCAAAACCTGTTTGGCAAAAATTAGAAGGAAAACTAAATATAAATTATGAAATACTAAAAAAATTTTGGATAAATCAATTACATATGCAATTATTTTGTCCAGAACCTATTTATTTAAATGACATAAAAATAAAATTAATTGAATAGTAAGTAAAAATACTTGCTTATTTCTCTATTAATATTACAATAGTCTCAGTCTCTTTTGCAATATAAAATTATATTATAGCATATATGGGAAAGGAATTTCAGACACTCGAGAAATTGTCTGGTCAAATGTTGCAAAATATTTTGATGGAATTACTACTATCTTTTTATGTAGAACATTTCTTTATCTAGTCCAAAATGCTTCCATACAAATAGGTACAAAATACTTTCCTGGTAAGTTTCTATATTAAGTAAATAATAAATATTGCTTTGTTCTATAATAATCTTAATATTTTTAATTTTATATGTTTTAGATATTGTGCATTATTTATATCATGAAAAAATACAAAATATAAGAAATGAATCAATGGATAAATTTCTTCCTAGACTATCTTATAAAAATGGTAAAGTTAAAATTATAAATGAAGATTTGAATGAAGATATCAATATATAATAAATTAATATTACACAAAGATATTTTCAATATCATAATTTATGAATTTAAAAAAAAAAAAATTTTGTAATATTTACATTTATTTTTAAAATGGAATTAAAAGGCATTGTAATTTATTGAATAATGTTTATATAATACATGCATTCCAATATTTTTCTTATGCAATTCAAAAAATCAAGAATTAAACTTTATTTTTTTTTGATTCTTTTTCTAATGCTTTTTCCTTTGCTCTTTGATATAAAGGTACTAATTTTCCTTCTTTAGCAAGCATTTTGAGTAATTCCATTATTAATGGCAAATAATTATGCTTTCTTCTGATATTTTCAATCTGATATCTTTTAGATTTTCGAATTTCTTTCTCTATCAATGTTTGTAAACGTTCTAATTCTGTTGGATCACAGACATTTGCTATTTGCCGTTCATAAACTGTTTTTCTGTCTGTTACTATTGCCATTAAATTAAAATGTATTTCTCCTTCATTATATCTATAATCGTAAATTACATAATTATTATATGAAATAAATGATTGTATAAATTATATTGTATAATATTATAAAATATTTACTTATTTATTCTTTTTTGTATTATTGGCTTAGCTGCTTGAACCCATTGATCTCCAAGTGGACAAGGGCCTAAATCCATAGGTCCATCTTTTAATCCATCTAATTCATATAATCGTCCATCTATAGGAACATAGCTCACAAAATGAAATACATCATCATCTTTAGATGCTTGTTTTGAGTCATATTCAAATATTGTTTGCCTACAATATTTATTTTATATATTATAACAATTTATATTAAACAACTTATTAATATTATTAAAATATATATTATATTGATAAATGGAAAATACCTTGAAAAAGAATTATGTACTTCTCTTATCACATCAGAATTGCTAAGAGCAAGTCCTCTCATATTAGCATCAAAGCTTTGACAAAAATTTTTAAATTCTTCTAAATTTGGTCCCAATGATATATCAGAATGTTTACAATTCAATAATACACTCAAAATTGCTTGTGTTGCACATGCATTGTTAATTACCTACAAGTTATTTTCAATATTTTTGTCATCTGATTATTATAATAAAATTTAATAAAAAATATAAAAATTACCTGTTTTGCAAAAAATATCTTATCCAACCTATTATCTAAAACAATACTTCCAGAAGGTTCATCATCTTGCACCCATTTAAATAAAAATATCAAACCATGTATAGGCCTAATAAATAAGAAATTATTATTAATATATCATAAAAAGATATTAAAAAAAAGATGAATTAATTTAATTTATTTTTTAGTTTATATATTTAAATAATAATAAACTTATAATTATAAATATATAATATTAATTTTAAAAATTTTAAAAATTACACAAAATGAAAAACAAATTTAATTGATAATTGAAATACAATATTAAATAGGTTATGTCATATAGATTAGATTTACTTTAAATTATCAAATTGCTCATCATCTAAACTCCATAATTCTTCCACTTGAGCACCTTGAACACCTTTAGAAAAAAAAAATTATATTAAATACTTTATAATTTCAAAAAAAATAATACTTAATAATACTACTAAAATGTAAGTGCGTTCAAAGTAACTGTCAAATATATACATAAATCTTTTAACATAATCATATATATATTATATATATTTAAAGTAATCAAAAAATAAATTTAAATGAAATCAATCAATTTACCAAATTCTTTTATTAATTCCGTAAAAACTCCAGGATCGCTTTCGATAAGACACCAATTGCCCGCTGAGTCCGCCATGTTTCATTTATTTACCGTAAATTCAAAATAGAATACTCATTGACTATAGTTTTTATAATTAGAATAATATAGATATTTATAAAGTGAATTATGTACATTGCAATATTATAATATAATGAATATTATTTCTTTCATGAATATCTAAATCAGGGTTATAAAAATTAAAATCAATAAATAACAAAAATAAAAGAAAAACAAAAATAAAAAAAAATACATACATTGGGAGTTTATTGTTTAATAAAAAACTTTAATAAAATTAAAATAAAAAATTAAATTAAAAAAATAAAATTTTATATAAAAATATTTCAATATTTTCAATTTTTTAATTTTTTATTATTCTACAAACTTCTTATAAGATTCACTATTTAAATAATTAAGGATTGCGTATAGTGTCTTAAGTATAAAAGTTTAACTCAAATTGTAAGCACAGCCTGATTTATTAAGTGGTTGGAATAATAAAACATGAAAAAGTTATATAATCCTTTCATAATCATTAATTAATATTATAACACTAAAATACAATTTACACTATTTACAAGCAATAAATTAATTAATTTCAAAATATATTAATAATCGTTGACCGTCATTCGTTAATTCACATTATTAATAATGTTCAACAAATAGTACATATGTAGTACATAGTTTGTAAACAAATTTTAGAATATAGTTTATGCGAATGAATTTTTATGATATTAATATAGAGGTAAATTAAAATAATTTGAAATGAAAAATTTTAATCATTACTAGCGTGATAAAAGGAATTAATGCAAAAAAATGTAAAAAAAAAAGTACATTGATAAGCTATATATATCAAATATAAGTTACATTGACAATATAATTTAATTATTTCATTCTCAATTTATAGATAAATGTTTATCTAAATGTATTAAACTATTAAATCCAATTCACTTATAAATGATCATAAGCAATAGCTTAAAATTTTATTGAAATATTTTTGTTGAAATATTGTGATGTGTATAATGAAAATCGCATAAATCTATAATGAGACACTATATGCTGGTTGTATATATTAACAGTTTTCATTGAAGCACCTAACATTGCATTGTTTGATTTTGATTAATTATTATTTTCTGTTTGACATAATGACGACAGAATATCCTCATACCGCCGCATATTAGTTTCAAATGTTTCCAACTGTTTTGTAAGATCTCCTACTTGTTCTGCAAGCGTTCTTTCCTCCATAAAGGCTTGAAGTTGAGGTGCACTTTGACATTCACGATAAAATGCTCCTAAATCGCTATTAGTATTTGTAACGGCGAAAGGAGTTTTCTATAATTTCAATATTTAAAGAGTTTAGACAAATCAAACGTTTCTATTATACTAAAAAGATAGGAACGTTAATTACCAAATCTACCATGATAAAATCGTCGTTGGCACTAGCCATTGAGCAACTACTTCTTCTTGATCCATTTTGCGAGTTGCATTTCGACGTTGCATTATCATTTGTAAGTCTTTCATTATTTCCATTGCTGCTATCTGTAGTAATATTTGTTGTTGCAGTCTTTGTACATGTAGTCTCTGTTGCTGAGACTGGAGGAGGTGAAGTTTGTCTAGGAGCTAATAAAGAACTAAAAGGTACATCTGGTATAACAAAGTTTTCTTCATTAACAGTAACAGGTTTATTGACTACAAATGCTCCAACTTTAATAGTATCACTAAGGGATTTTGAAGTTTCTTCACTAAAATATAAACAAAAAAATTTATACAAAAGATTAATATAATATATAATCTAAAAAATTAAAAATTATATTTAAATAAAATACCTTTGTTGATATCTAGCATGACGAGGACTTAAGTCAGAATGAAAATGATCACTTTTTAACATTATTGAATCACGCCCAGTATGAGTAGGAGATATAGTCATTTTTGTTCTATATGATACTGATAAATGAATTGTCCCCACTGGTGTACACAATTGACCCACTCTAACGTGTTTATAATTATCACCTAAAAGTTGTAATATATTAAGCAAAATAAATAAAATTTTGATATAAAAGTGAAATTTTTTTTTTTTATACCTAATGTATGTAGCTGAGGTTCTCCCATATAAATTCTATAACAAATAACATAGGAATCTGGACCTTGTCTTCTACTCAATTTATAAGCTGGAGTAATTCTTGATACAGATAATAATGATTTGAGTAAAATACCCATTCTGTTATATACTGTGTAAGTTACTCTTACAGTGGGATCACTATGCTCTGGCAAAACACCTAGGCTCCATGTTTCTAAAACCATTGTATCACCTTCAACGGTTCTTAATGAAATTTCAATACAAAGAGGTATGGTTGAATTTATTATTTCTCCACATAATACTCTTTTGGCTTCAGCCAAAACTTCTGGTAGATCATGAATAGCAAGATTAAACTGTACAATGAAAATAATCACATAGAAAATTATACTTTTAAATAATAAATAAATAATTCATTTTAATTAATTAATATAAAAAACTATGTTTTCTAAATATATTAAATAAAATTATTTATATATTTGTTATTTCATAAAATTTTATATAAATTTATAAATTTTTCTTAAGTAATAAAAGATAATAATTTAACTTTTTAAATGTATTATATAAATAAAATATGTGAATTTAGAAGAAAGAAAAAATTAAAAAATAAATTTTATGTTAAATTAATTTGAGAAATAAATATATAAATTATCTGTAATATATATTATTATAAAGTTATCATATAGAAAAGCTTACCCAATCTGTTCCAGATGAATTTGGCTTGCACTTTGTGCTGACCTTTTCACCTGACCTCGACTGCACAATAATTTGAGCAGCTTTTAATGCCAAAAATTTGGTGAATTTATCCAAATCCTTTTTATCTTGCATGCTCAATTTTAATGTGGACATTTTAATGCTATTAATTATATTTTTATGAAATTTCTTTTGATAAAACACAGATATGTGCTCAAAAATATCCAATTCCACTAAACTTTATAAAATTTTGAATATGCCAAAGCATCTCTTCTTATTTGTAAAACTACATGATGAGATAGTTTTTGACATTCATATATGTAAACCATTGCATTTGAATTAGCAAATGATTTCTTTTTTTCCTATGATTTGTTAATGCAGATATTGCAACCAAAAAACAATAATTTGACAATAGGATAAACATCATATCGCTGCATTGTGTTGCAACAGCTGCGTGGCAGACGATAGGTATTAGATTGATTCTATTAATTAGAATCTAGTTTTTCGTAGATTAGTTATAAAAACAAATTCGAAAATTTTATTCGAATTAATTGATCAATCTGAATATCACTTTTCTCGAAAAAATGTATAACGATAGTAATATCAAATATAGTTCTTATTTCACTATTTTTATGACACACTGTAAGATCGATCGTGTTTCGTATAGCAATTACCTTAACATAAGAAGCGTTCACATGAATAATATATAATTATTAATTTGCTGAGTCAGAAGTAAGTTAATTTTGTTAAATATAATTTATGATTAAAACAAGAAAGATAGAGAGAACGAAAAATACTTTTTTATCAAGAATTCAAAATTTGTAAATTTCGAATTGCAGAATTACACCGCGTTCAGAAAATAAGAGTCAGCATAGACCATATATATTATTTTGTACATTACATATGAAAAATAAATATAATTATATGATATTAAAATATATAATTTTTTAAATCATTTAACAACATGTCAAATTCATTATTACTATTAATTATTTTACTTGATTATAAATTAGTCTTGATTTTAATTCTTAAAAAAATTATTGTATACATAATGGTATTGTAGATATAAATGGTACAAATGTTCTATCATTTGATTGGTTAATTGAAGTGTTCAACAATTGATGAACTAAAATATCATTAAATTATAAAATATAATACTATTTGTATATTTTCTTTTTAATTATTTTAAAAAAAATTTTTCATTTTTTATATTGTTCCTATATTTTTCAATTTGATTGTTTTGTATAAAAATTTAGTTATAATTTATTTTTTTCAGATCATTTATAACATTACTTTGCTAAAAAAAAAATAAAATATACATTATTTTATTTTTTTTTTTAAATAAAGCACAAATTTAAATTATTTAAATAAATTCACTGAAATATGAGATATAATAATAATATAATTAAAATAAAAATAAAATTAAATTAATCATAAAATATATTCTAATAACAATATTCAATAAATATGTTTTTATATGTTCTTATATATTATTATATATTTTTATATATCTATAATTATATATAAAATTTATTTTTATTTATAATTAAATTAATTATTTACATATATAATATATGATAATACGCGGTAACTGTAGTACTATGAAATATTACATAGATGGCGTTAGTCTAATTTTGTTAGTTTATTCTTATTATTTTTGTGTGCATTTCACGTCAGATTCTTTGCGCATTCCGATAGATGGCATAACAATCACGTCATGTTACTTCCCGCTATTATTTTTAGATTAAAATATAAGATTCTAAAACTTTACTCCTTTTCAATATAATTGATAATGACTTCATGACAATCCTGGAATATTCGTAAATAATTTCTTTTCAATTACTTAGATAAATGGAAAAAAAATTAAAAAAAATATTGGTGAAAAATGAGAATTAATAGTAGGAACAGGAATGTGGAAAATAATTATTATAATCATACAAGGAAATAGAAAAAATTTAGAAAAAGAAAAAAAAACAGGAAAGAAAAAGAAAGAAAAAACAAAAGTTTAAATTGAATTATATTAAGCAATTATATTAAGCAAAAGATACAACAAGTGTAATTAGCGTATTAACGAGAAGAAAAAGAATAACTTTAAAAAAATAGAGAATAAGAGAAAATAGAGAATAATCTTTGAAAAAAATGAAAAAATGATCAAAGAATTTTTCAAATACATGAATAAATAATTTAAAATTTAAAAAATAGCGCAATAAATATAGAAGAAAAAAAGATAGAAAGAAGAAGAAAAAGAAACAAATTTTAGGAAATATTAAAGTGTCTATTAGAAAAAATGATAGAGATAAAAGCGAAAATGAAAAAACACAAATAAAGAATTATAGATTCGATGAGAAAATAAAATAAATAAAAAAAAAATAAATTATATATTATAGTTTTAAAAACTAAGTTTTATAAAAAATATATTAAAAAATATAATATTTATATTACAAAGAATAATGAACAATTTTTTATAATACTTATAATAATTTATAAGATTTATAAGAAAACTGCTACTTTTATAATGGACTGTACAGTTATAGCACACAGCATGCCAACTGCAATGGAAATTTCCACTGAAGCACTCTGTTGCCACCGTCTTGTAGACGCTTCATAGCCGCGCCTAAAAACCAGATTGCATCTTTCAGAAGACTAAATCGAAGGCCATTCTCATTTTTTTTATTAATTAGTTTCGATTAATTAGATTTATCATATTCTGGATTATTTAATAATTTATATAAATATTTATTGCATATTAAATAACATTTAATGAAATAATTTAAATATGGAATCATATGATTATTTGTATCTTTTTGTTTTTTGTTTTTTTCAATAAAACTTAACCAAAAAATACTAAGATTTCTTAACTAAGATTTCATAATTTAAGAATACCATTATTTTTCCATTTAAGAAATTTTCAATATAACAGATATATACATCGCAATTTGTATCATAATAATTTTAATATAAAAAATAAATAAATTTTTTTTATAAATATTTTTTATAAATATAAATTGATTTTATTCTCATTTAATCGGCATGACTAAAATTATAAACAATTGTAATGATAAATGATTTTATTTTTAAAATAATATATAGATTTTAATCCAAAATAAATTCTGTTACAACAAGAACATAAAAATACTTTATATTTTATAAAAATATAAATTTTATTTTATTTTTTTAGTAAAATATTAAAATATACTATAAATAAAAATGTACTATATAAATTTAATATAAATTTTTTTGCATCAAAATGTAAAATCTTTTATGTGAATAAAATATAAGAATGGAAATAGTGACATAATGAGAACATGAAATGGCCATGAAATGACATAAAAGGAAAGAACGTGTTTTCAACTTTTCTCTGATATAGAAAGAACAAGTTAGGAATTTTAAATTCGAAATATCATCGCAATATTTAGAAAATAGAACTTTTTGATCTATATTAAAAACATCGTATACTTTTGATAGGAAATGTACTCAGAGTTCGAGAGGCCTCGCGTGGCCTGGTCCCCTCCCAAGATAAGAAGGCCTAAGGGGCCCGGTTGAACGTTTGCCACAACGTTTGCAAGACTTACACGCTTTTGTATTAGAAATGTACTTCGTTCGATCAATTCTTCGTTCGACTGACTGTGCATTTACATGAATTTGATTTGATTAATCACATAATGAATATCTATCGCGTAGAAAAGTTGATCTTTTATTATTTAATATTTTGTTTAAAAATGAAAAGCAACGAAAAAATTGCAAATATAATTTTAGAGGTTATGTTTCTATAATTTCACGAATAATTAGCTAGTAATTAATAATTTTTAATTTTTTATTAGACTATCCAAAAATCTATAATATTTTTGCTTAACAAAATTACATTTTAATAAATTTCATTTTAATACTGAGATTATTATTATAATTAAAAATTATTATATTAAAATATTATTATTATCATATAATAATATTAAATTTAATTTTTTATATATTATATATAAAATATATATATTTTTTAAATTTATAGAAATTAAGTCTTTTAGAGAATTATTTAGTAATTTATTGAAATATCGATTTATTCCAAATTAAGTATTAGATTACAAAAAATATAAGTTTTAATATTAGGAAATCATTTTATTAACATTGAATGTTTAAATTAATATATATATTAATATATAATCTAATATTGATATTAGATTAGATACAGACATAGTAAATCCAAAACTTTATTTTAATACATAAAAATTTAATTAACAATTAATATTTCATTTGAAATATTTACGGAAAACTAAAAATCTACATTACCTACAGTCCCATCAACGAGTTAGAATAGATATCTGTTTTTTGTTATCACTACAGATGATGAAACTTATCTGTAAACATCGATTGTTCTCATTAAATATTATATTAACAGTAAGTTTTTCATATGTATAATTTTTAAATTAGTGAATTTCTAGAGTTAAAAGTAATATTTTTGGAATTTACTTATTATATATTATCGAAAGATATGAAAAAAAATCAATAATTTTTGATATTCAAGCGAAAGACAACCATTAATTTATTAATAATTGATTTAAATGTGAAATATATATAATGAAATAATATAGAAAAAAGAAAATTTTATTAGCATTTATCTACAAAAAAAGTTTGAAACCACGATCTACGCATTAAAATTGAAAAAACCACGCAAGCGATAGATAGAATACAAGGTCGAATTTCGTACAGGCATATCTATAACATGAAGTCACGTTTATGACTGCAATATAAGCACGTGCTGCTGCGTTTTCGCTAATATTTTATAAAGATAACAGAGCAAGCAAACGATATTTAAGTGCCAATTATAATTATCATGAATCGATTATTCCTTGCCCGATTTGATAGCGCGTTATTAAGTTTCATTATGTAAAATAAAAAAATCGAAAACTACAAAAAATTGAAGGTGACAATTTTCTTTTTTAATATTTTTTCTTATAATTATTGCGTAACTCGAAATTATCAAGAAATTTTCAATAACTTTAAGTAGATATTTTGATACTTTGATTTCTTATTCTTATCTTGTATATACTTATTATATTTTCAAAAATATATGTAATAAATATAATAAACTTCTTACACATTTTTTGCCATAATAAAAATAAAAGATTCAATTGTTAAAATATTTGAAATAATTGTTTACACATTCATAAAATTATTAATTGTCAATATTTGTGGTAATACGAAAATGTTTCAATTGTACGTTATATAATCGTACGAAGAATTACATAACAGTTCCTCGGAATTTTAATTTCACGTTCTAGCTTTTAATAATATAATAAAAATCTTACATACACGAGATGTAAATATGTTTTAAAAACAAATGATGAAATTTTACACGTATTTTTTAAATACCTGAATTTTTTTAAACAATAAGATACCATAGATAAAATAGTTTATAGATTTTATAATTACGAATCGCTTAATCCTTAATTTTTGAATTACAATTATTAATTTTAATTATTAAATTTGAATTTTATCGCACGGATGTAATATAAATGTAAAAGATTAATGAACATTATATATCAAAAATCAAGTTAAATCGATGCAAAATATGGCCATATTAATATCGAATTATTAAGATTATGAATAAAATGATATTATAATTATATTTATATCAAATTTCGTATTAATTTTAATTTCTAAAGAATGACCTGATTTATTACACTCTCTTCTATTTCACTTTCATTTCATCACTATCTATTTCTCACTTTTATCTTTGATACAGAAGGGCATAGAAGAATCAGTCAAGTCAGAAATAGATAACGCCAGTCAATTTTTAGAAATCTATTTCTTCATATATATT